GCGCAACACGGCAACACGTGTTCGATGGTCCATGAACTATCGTCGTCTATAAATCTCAAGAAGAGCTAGAGGCACTGTATCAACTTGCCTCTGTAACAACTAGCCCCGGTCTCCCCTACATTGTATACATGATATATGTTGATAACTCAAATTGGTTTTATGATGTACGCACTGTAGGTAAAGTATGTTTCTTTTACTTTCATGAAAAACTTGGTAATACATTGGCTGTGTTAATACTATGATTTGTAACACCCATTTGTAGCCCCGGTCTACCCTACTCTAGTTTCTCTACTAACCAATCGGGGTTGAGTGGTGAAGATAAATTAGAGATCCAGCTAAAACTCAAACAACTCGAGCCCGAACAAGCTCGTATGGAAGCCGAGAAGGTGAAAGAACAAGCTCGTATTGAAGCTGAAAGAGAAAATAAACGCCTCGAGGCCGAAAAAGCTCGCATTGAAGCTGAAACCGAGATTTGGCTGAAAGAAATGGAAATTAGACTCAACACCGATCGACCAAGGCAAAATGACAATTTTGAACTTAATCGATATGTTAAAGTAGCACTGTTCAATGAAAATAAAGTTGATAAATATTTCCAACATGGTTATTATTATTACATTGTCTTAACTGATAAAGAAGCTTATGCCGCTCTCTCTTTAAAATATCGTACGAATTATGATAACGTTAAAGCACCTATTCTCAAAGAATACGAATTAGTACCAGAAGCTTATGCCGCTCTCTCTTTAAAAGATTGTACGAATTATGATAACGTTAAAGCACCTATTCTCAAAGAATACGAATTAGTACCAGAGGCTTATCGCCAAAAGTTTCGAGGTTATCGAGCTTGTGAACACTAACTTTCTCACATTTTTAATACCCATTGTAATTACTTTATATCTAGTTAAAGAAATTATTTTCTAATAAATTTGAATCAAGTCCAGACAATTTCTTGAAGATATCACTCAGATATCCAAAATTCTCATATTTCGTACTTTAAGTAATATAAACAGGTAAATTCACTCAAAACACGTTTGTTTGTTGTTGTTTGTTTGTTTTGGTAACTACAAATCAAAGTTATGTAGAAGTGTTGAAAAACCATGTAAAAAATTTGAAAAGAATGTAAAATTTTTGATTTATAACCTAAAATTTTGCGTTTTAAAGTTCTCAATATTAACTTAAGGTTCAGTAAACAATACCATGTCGCCCATACAAAAAATAAACAAAGAATTACTGAACTAAAGTTAAAAAACAAATTACTTGAGTCATTTATTTCCAATCTCTCAGTTGAAACAACAAGTTAACTACTTGTATTTCGTATATTTACAACAAAACATTGTTTTTCTAACTGTTGCTGGCGCCTTATGTAGAAATATATAAAAATAGTTTATTTTAAACTTTTCCCAACTTCTCATTAATGATGTAAGTTTACAGAAATATGTTGATCTAAGAACAGTTCAGGTAATACATTTTGTTGTTGTTAGTGCCTAATTAGGAGGAATATAATTTACTGCAACAATAATTTCGTTGGAATATATATTTGTTCGATTTAGAAAGATCTCGTGAGTTGGAAACATTCTATAATTCACCTTTTTACGGCAGTTCTTCTCAACTATAACAATCAGCTAGACTCACTCATACGTTCAACGGAATTACCAACGTATATTATACTAAAACCACCACACATCACGAGAGAGAGTACTTCTCACTTATGTTTCTTTCAAACTAAAATACCCAAAGCACACTATAAGGAACACATACAATCAAAAATTACACTTTGTAATCTTTACCCACACAGATGAACAATGAATATACAGAATTCAGACATAAACATGCTATTTATTCATTTTCTACTTCTCTTTTTTTAGAAGCACCCCATGTAATGAACATGGATATTTATTATTATTATATATATAGCAATATAATGAGCACACGCATTATTCTACAAGCACAAAATCCCACAAATATTGTACTGTTAATTTTCCACTACACTACAAAAAGATATCCATACAGCATTGTTCAAGCATTACACACACACACACAGCATTTCTTTAGTAGTGACAACACAAATCAACTGTATCATTCCCAAAACAAAATATAGATATATGACCTACCGTGTCTCCACATGTGCAACTCCCTTTGGATTCCTGTACTTACTCTAAACGTTTGGTTGGCATGTTTTTAGTGGACAGTCTCTTCCTGTAAGTTTATTCACTGAAAAATCTTGGTTTAACAATCAAAACCTCTTACTCCTTTAAAATAAATTAAAATAAAATTGTAGTACAATAAGCATCAAAATACTTCCAATTCTATATTTCGATAATTATTTAAGGCCAACAGGGGTTTTAAGATGATAGGATAAGCATTTCGGTTTATGAAATCTCTTTATATGCAAATCACTGATAACACAAGAATAATTATTTTGTGTACTGTTGACGCTTCCACTATATAAACTCCATCGACACAGATGTTGCATATGGTTTTAATTCTCAGTGACGATGTGATAGTTCATAATGTGCTGTTAATAAACGAGTGAGTGTTTTGTTTAAAAGAAATAATACAGCTCTCGATAACGTAAAATGAATAATCTGACCTCAAGTTAGTGTAGTCTTTGTTGAATTTTGGGCAAAGCTACTTGAGAGCTATCTGCGCTAGCAGTCCCTAATTTTTAAGTGATAGACTAGAAGGAAGGCAGTTAGTTAACACCACCTACTGCCAACTCGCTGGCTATTCTTCACCAAAGAATACTAGTTTTAACCGATGCATTATAACGCTCCTACACCTGAAACGACGAACATGTTCCGTAACAAGATTTGATCCCGCGACCCTCAGGTTACAAGTTGAGAGCCCAAATCACAAAGCCATGCCAGGCTCGGCCAATTGGTATAGATCTGTATTTATTTAAAAGTTAGATTCCCATGTAAGAAGTAGTAGATTAGTGTTTTTAATACAGGATCATTCCCTCAACCAGAAGTGCGCCAGTAGCGGGGATCGGATTTAAAAAATTCATGATTTATCCGATTTTGGTGAAACTTATATAAGATGTAGAATATGAAAATTACAGTTTACAAATAAAAAAACTTGACCGAATTCTGACTGGCTAAATCAGCAGAACCCCATAGTTAATGTCACTACTTTTTGTGTAACCGACGGGTCCTTTACGCGAACATTTTTTTTTTTCTACTCCAGTCGTTGTAACTATTTTTCAGACCAAAGCCCAACAGGTCTTCAGTAGATATCTCCAAGCCGTGACTGGAACTTTGTTACTCTTCGGCATGTCATCAAATTTCACCTTGATTATCTACATGTTCAAGGTTTATAGATGTTCGATGTGTAACCTCTTTAGCCGCTGTGGATGTGATTACGATTTAACTTTTTGACAGCCTTTCTGGAGGCAAATCCACCTATCAAGTCTGAATATTCTATGGCAGCACTAAAAAATAGGTTTGATGTGGTCAAAGACAGTACTAATAGTAGTAGTAGCCTTCCACCAGCTCAGGAGGTCATGAATAAGATCTCCAAGCTCAAACAGACCATGAAGGAAGGTAGTCCAATTTGATTTGGGATTAAAAAGAAAATATAATTAGTTCGCGCGTGTAACAGTTGTTGATAAGGTGGGATGGCAACTCGAAACCCTATTTGACTGCTAATAACTTCCGAATAAAATAAGTTACTATAATTTTGTTTACAATTTGGATGCAGCAGGTTCCAAACTGTCTAACAGTGTATGTAATATGTTCACGAACCAATTACCGAAATTTCTTATTTCTTGCCTTGCAATAACAAAAACACTATTTCACCTCTGGTTAATGGAGAGATTCTGGGTTAAATTTTATAGAATTATTGACTAAGTTTATAAGTAAAGACAAAAAATTATGACCTTCAACATTAGTTTTTCAATTTAACTTTTTGCTTTTACTTAGTCTTCCAGCGATATAAAAAGCTATATAGTTTTCAAACTGACATTCTTAACTTTTTAGAAGACTTTCGAATGATCACTAGAGCGTAAAACATGACAATGACATTAGTATATTCATTCTATTAGTTTGTTTGTAATTAAGCACAAAGCTACACAATGGGCTATATGTGCTCTACCCCCCACGGGTATCAAAACCCGGATTCTGGCGTTATAAGTCCGCAGACATACCACTGTGCCACTGGGGGCCGTTATATTAGAATAAATATAAAAGTTTGTATAAAATAAAATGCACAACTATTCAACAGAATAAAATTCAAATTAGTTCAGGTTTTAGATTACTTTATATTCAGTTTAGTTGGTAACCCAATTTAAGTTTTATTTGTCAAAAGCAAATGTTTTCATAAAATCGTCCCTAAAATAGTAGTATTAGTGTATTAATAAGTAACACTGGTTTGTTTATTATATGCTTATATGTTTACGTAAATTTAATTGTTATTTTTAGTGAGATTACTACTGGGGTTTCAGCCTTAATTAAAAGTTTAAACTCATCTGTTTAGGCCTATTAGTAAAGAAATAAACAGCCAATAGTGATACTATGGTTGCCTTAAATTTAGCAGATTCAATCATGAAACTTTCTACAAAAATTATATAGAGTTTACTAAATTTTGTGAATATCATATTTCACGCTCTCTTAGGATTATGACATAAACTTTATTACTATCATTTTTTTATTCTTTCTAGGCAGATTTGAAATTATCTATACTCAGTTTATTAATAAACAATGGTAAAGAAGAAAACATATTCGACTTTTCATTGTTGCAAACCCATCCTTTTCATATCAGTAAATTTATTTATAGTAATTTTGTACTTCACACTACAAAAATAATTTTATTTTTAATCAATTGTTTTTCCTAACACAACGCATTAACTTAAATAACTAAAATATGTTCTACAAGAGGGGTTTCCAACCAGGGTGTTAACACCCCCTGGGGTGCGAAATGAGGATCCAGGAGGTGCGCAGAAGAGGCCTATACAAAGTCCATTTTCCCACAAATATCACAAAGAGAAAATGTCTAATGCACACTTTTTAGGGGAGGGGGTGCGAGGGCTTCCTTAGGGGTGTGTGAAGGCCACAAAAGGTTGGGAACCACTGTTCTACAAGTAGCACCTTTTGCGATTTCAGTAATAAAAACAGTTATCTGCTTGGTTCAAATGTCAAATGAACTACAACTTGTGACTAAACTAGAAAATGAAGAGGTTACTAGTCTTGAAAGACAACCCAAGAATTCATGGACAATACACTATCATACAAGACAAACAATTGTAAGTAATACATACCTGATCTAATGACGCAGATAAACTTATACGAATCTGAACACTTGCGATCTTCAAGTAAAAGATTTTCGTCGATAAATGTGGCTACGACACAGTCTTCTTCATCTTTTTCTCCAACATTGTTGTTGGGCTCATTATCAAACCACAGTTCTGGAACAAATGGTGCTTCAGTTCCTTCGATGAATTTCCACAAACCTTTCCTATCCCGATCAGTCAGACCGACCCAGTAATCCTCGTTTTCTTTACCTTTGTTCAAAATCAATTCGGAAAAATACAGCAATTTGTTAAGGTTCGAGATTTTGGCTAATTGGCCATCGTACCAATTTTCGCAGGCTTTGTTACTGGTACTGAAATCTCGATGTAACGCTGCAAGGAGTTCGTAGCAATAGTCTTCGTGCTCATTTTCGCAATCTGAGAATAAATCGTGATTATCGACTACAATTATATTCGAATTCAAATCAACAAAATTGTGATAGCTTAATTTTTGTCAAGCAGTTAACAGTGACACCATATTCTAATTTGTTTCTATAACAACAAAGCACAAATAATGAACTTACATAAAGAAACAGTATATGTAAGATACAGAATATCTATAACAGTTTAAATTCTTCAAATGGAATCCAACCGAACAATCACTGGAAATAGAGATATAAGACAAATTAACTCAAAGCAATAGAATTATATACTAAACAGGAGTTGAGTACGTTATATTAAAACGATTTTAGAGCCTCACCACGCTGTTATAGTCCATGTCACCTCGTTCGTTCATGCTTACAATAGTTCTGCAGCATAGTTTCCATTACATAATGATAAGGCTCCTTCGTAAGATTTTAATGTGCAAAGCAAACCCCTCCCCCTGCAGGATTTCCATAGTACAGCTAGTGTGTAACAGTGCGACGGTTTCTCCCGCCCATTTCAACAGTCTGATCAAACAAAATTCTATAAGCAATGTCCGTCGACTTCAACGGTACGTCTCCATACGGAATAGCGTGAATATCCGTTTTAAGCCTATAAATTATTATCGTTGTTTCCAAGTGAACATTCTTTCTTGATTGTGTTGCGTACTGTTGCTTGGACCGCTTTTGCCAATGGCCAATGTAGTTTCTCACCTCTATGTAGGACGCCGCACTATGCTTACTACGACATTGTAAAGATCTTTTTCTAGATGTTGATCCATTTTTTTGTTTCCAACGTTATTAGAAACAAGGGTAGTCCCGTCTTGGATATTCTAAATCTACGACCTGAAAAAATCTTTACTATCTGAATTGATTAATATTTTACGTTGGAAAGGTCGTCGGAGAAACCACGTTACCTACGTCACGCCAAACAATGTCTAAAAGTAGTTCTGATAAATGTCTTTCCATCGCGACTTTACATCAGCTGTGGTTTTGAAGTGACTTGCTGATTTTTATATTCAAAATGGTTTTAATATAACTTACTCAACCTTGTATATTACCTGTACATATAATGAAAAATAGTTGCTATGGTTAAGTGATCTTATTGGATCAGGCTGGATCTTACCTTTATCTTCTTTAGGTATTTCACAAATACCGTAGTGGGTTTTTCGACAATCCACATCATTCAGAAAGTACTTATTGCTACCTATCTCCTTTTCCAGCCTGGCACAAGTAGGGTCGGTACCTCCACCATTGTCTGGTTGATCTTTAGCCCAAAACGAAGGTAAGAAAGGAATTACTTCTCCGTTTACGGATTCGAAGAATCTTTCTTTATTTCTGTCAGAAATTCCAAGCCAGAAAGTGTTGTCGCTCATATACATCTGTTTAATAAACTCCTCAGTGTGCTTCCTATCTCTTTCATTGCTAATTGTTGCTAAAAATCCGCCTTTTTCTTTGCAGTGTTGAATGGCATTTTCAAATGTAGAATCTTCCAAAACGATTACATATTTCGTTTTTGTATCTGTGTAAAATGAATCATAAACTGTTTACACTTGCAGTCTGGTAAAATGAATTATCTCACTGGTATTAATCATAATTTGCTCCCAATGTAAAAGTCAATACCTATTTGAAATATATGATTATATCTAACTGTAAACAAAATGTTTTAACTGCGTTATTTCGTATGACAAAATAAAAGTAACATCTGTTCGTAGTAAATGCAGTAGTTTTTTATTACATAATTATGTAATTTAAGATTAAAGACGTGAACATAAAAATAGTTCCAATCAGAATTAAATAACAATTGGGCTATGATTAGAAACCCAGATTTAAGACTTAAGCCTAAAGAGAAAATAAATCTATACACATTTAAGTGATATGTAAAAACTTAAAAGATTCATGTTAATCATAACGATTACAAACTATACCAAATATATCTGAGTAGTGACCACAGCAGTATGTTATTTACTACGTCCAAACGATGCAGTTCTTAGTAGGATGTCCTCAGATTTTTAATAACCTATGACTGAAAGCACAGAAGAATATACAATAATATGTCAATCACAATATACCTGGCATAACCAGTGCTGACGATGCCTTTCGCCCAATATCAAGGCTCATCAGGTCAACGGTCAGACTTAGTAGTGGTCTAGGTGCTATTTAAAGAAGGATATCACGTGATTAATGGAATCTAGGTGTGTGTGTGTGTGTGTGTGTGCTGTAAAAATCACGTGGCGAGTGTGTTTGATTGCAGCACCCTATTAATTGCATTTAATCAGATAATTTGACAACACAATTCGTTGATGTTTAACTGTAGTTAAGTCAATTATGACTTACGATTACAGATTAAAATAACAAATACGTTATTTTTACAATTATGATAGTTAATTAAACTGTGTACTGGTTTAACAGAATTTAATGAGATATATCTATAAGCTACTTCTCTTCCGGTGTTTTGAGGGGTATTGATAGAGTAAATAATCCTAACCTTTTCCTATGCACTAAATATATCTTATAATTCCCAAATCGAAACGTAATAAGTTTAAAGTTTTCTTACCCTTACTTATTCCAAACATAAGCTGAACAGATAACATATATTCTGAATTTACGACATTTGACATCGTTTGTTCAGTGTGAGCCAGGCGTGGCTATAGGGTTAGTGGGCCTGTCCGTGGATCGAACGTTAATGAAAGACTATCTCAGGACATGAAAGTTGCTTTCCTTATATGTAATTGTAAAAAGCGCAAAAACGCCCATAAAACAGCAAAACACAAAATAAGAAACCACAACTTTGCGTGTTTTTCCGGATGGACCCAGCAAACATTCATGCCAAATTTGGTGAAGACCCATCAAAAGGAGGCGAAGTAGTGGTAAAAAACGCAAAAAACTCAAAATG